CCGTGGAGCGCTACGGCGGCCCCCTGCCCTACCACCGGCGCCCCGTGCTGGCCCGAGAGTACCAGGACGTCGACAGCATGCTCTTCGACCACGAGCTGCCCCAGGCCGCGGGGCTTCTCCACCACTGCTGCTTCTACGCACCCGGCCGGCTGGTGACGATGACCACAGCGCCCCGTGGCCTGCAGTCAGGGGACCGGGCCACCTGGTTCGGCCTGTACTACAACGTCTCGGGTGCCGGCGTCTTCCTGCAGCCCGTGGGGCTAGAGCTGCTGGTGGACCACGGCGCCCTGGACCCGGCCCGCTGGGCCGTGCGGCAGGTGTTCTTCCAGGGCCGCTACTACGAGAGCCTGAGCAGGCTGGAGCACCTGTTTGAGGCCGGCCTGGTGAAGGTGGTGCCGGTCCCTGACAATGGCACGGGTGGGGCCTGGTCCCTGAAGTCGCCGGTGCCCCCGGGCCCTGCTCCCCCTCTGCAGTTCCACCCCCAGGGCCCCCGCTTCAGCGTCCAGGGCAGTCGCGTGACCTCCTCCCTGTGGGCCTTCTCCTTCGGCCTCGGCGCCTTCAGTGGCCCAAGGGTCTTTGACGTCCGCTTCCAGGGTGAGAGGGTGGCCTACGAGATCAGCGTCCAGGAGGCCCTGGCCGTCTACGGGGGCAACTCTCCGGCGGCGATGCTGACCCACTACATGGACGGCAGCTTTGGCATTGGCAAGTACACCACGCCCCTGACGCGCGGGGTGGACTGCCCCTACCTGGCCACCTGCGCGGACTGGCACTTCCTGGTGGGATCTCAGGCCCCCAAGACCGTCCGCGACGCCCTGTGTGTGTTTGAATGGAACCAGGGCCTCCCCTTGCGGCGGCACCACTCTGATTTCTACTCCCGTTACTATGGGGGCATCGCGGAGACGGTGCTGGTGGTCAGGTCTGTGGCCACCTTGCTCAACTATGACTATGTGTGGGACGTGATCTTCCACCCCAACGGGGCCATCGAAGTCAAAGTCCACACCACGGGCTACATCAGCTCTTCGTTCTTCTTCGGTGCCGCCCCGCGGTACGGGAACCGCGTTGGGGAGCACGCGCTGGGCACGGTCCACACCCACAGCATCCACTTCAAGGTGGACCTGGACGTGGCAGGTAGGACTCTCCACCAGGATGAGGGTTCTGCAAGAGGCACTGGGGAGCTGTCCCCACTTGCTTTGGATTTTGTGCACTTTTTCTAGGAAAGGGCCTTGTACCCCACACTTCCCTCGTGGTGCAGGGCAGTGAATACTGTTGAGTGTATTTGCATCCTGCTCAGCCTCAGGGTGCACAGCTGCTGGTCTCGCTCTTGACAGCCCAGAAAATGCTGAGCCACGGCTGTCCTGGGGCAGTAGGCAGGACCAGGTTGCAGGGTCACCGATGCCTCTTCTGTCCCGTGTCCCTGCCACTTCCCTGTGTGTCTCGGTGCGCTGGTGCAGGACCCGGATGCCTTCTGCCTGGGCCCAGGCCAGCATGAGGTGACCCAGCTGGTACTATTTCCTGATGATGGAGCCTTGGTCTCCCTGATCTCCCACCCGTCTTTGGGTGCCAATCACTGGAGTGGGAGGGTAGCATGGATCCCGTGGGGAATTCCACGACATTCCTGGAGCTGTCAGAGAGGAGATGAGGCTCCTTGATGTCTTGGGGTTTCATTTTTGTCTCTCACTTTCCTCTCTGCACTAAGGGTAGCACGCATGTTTTTTCTGTTCTGCTTCTGAAGCAGCTCCGAGCCTGGCTGGGTCCCGCTGTGCCTGCGGCAGGGCAGTGTCACACCCTCTCTGAGCGAGCAGCGCCATGCTCTCAGATGCAGGGTTCACGCTGTGCCCAGAGCCCTGGTGCCAGCCTGCTGTGCGCCCAGCCCGATGTTCTCACTGCAGGATGCACTGCAGCACGGCCTTCCTGTCTCCACTGGCGCCCCCTGCCAGCAGACCTTGCCCTGCGCTCACCACAGCTGCAGCCCTGTCCCTGCATCCCTGGCCCACCGCCCTCAGCTGTGTCGGCTTTGCCCTGGTGACTGCCTGTTGGGCCAGGCAGAGCAGTCACCTGGAGGACTCCATCCACCTGTGCCTGTGTCCCTGCCAAAAGCAGGCTGGGCGGCGCTTCGCCTGTCTGTGGCCCATGGGAGTGGGAGGGAAGCTGGTGTCCCCTTGAGCTCTGTCCCTGGCATTGAACACAGATCTCCAGCTGAGGGATATTGAAAGGTGCACAAATGAAATCCTGACAGCCCGGGCAGGGGGGGTGCGGGACACCTGGCCTCGCTGCTCTGATGTCCCGCACCCCACAGGACCAGAGAACTGGGTCTGGGCCGAGGACCTGGCCTTCTTCCCCGCGGCTGTACCCTGGCGCCCTGAGCACCAGATCCAGAGGCTGCAGGTGACCCGGAAGCTGCTCAAGACAGAAGAGCAGGCCGCCTTCCCCCTGGGCGGGGCCGCCCCGCGCTACCTGTACCTGGCCAGCAACCGCAGCAACAAGTGGGGGCACCCGCGGGGCTACCGCGTGCAGACGCTGGGCCCTGCCGGGGAGCAGCTGCCCCCGAACAGCTCCGTGGCAGGGGCCTTCAGCTGGGTGAGGTGAGCGGTGGTCGGCGGCGGGGGGCCGGTTGGGGAGCCCTGGAGGTGGCACAGGGAAGAGACCTAAGGGTAGTCAGGTCAGAGGAACTGCCAGGGTGGTCGCTGGCGCCCATTTCATCTTGGAAGGTGGGAGTGGACGGGAGGACTGCTCCATCCTGGGGGAGGGCCGTGTACCCGGTGGGACAGAGGGAGAGGGCGGGAGGCAGGGGACTGTGCGGCTCCAGCGGCTGCGTGCCTGAGGTGTGGATGCTCAGTCCCCTCCGTCACAGTCAGGCAGCGGCAGGACAGGGTTAGTGCCCAGTGTCCCCGCAGGTACCAGCTGGCGGTGACCCGGCGGAAAGAGGAGGAGCCCAGCAGCTCCAGCGTCTTCAATCAGAATGACCCCTGGACGCCCACCGTGGATTTTGCCGACTTCATCAACAACGAGACCATCACGGGGGAGGTGAGCCGGCCGGGGCCCGGGGAAAGGCAGGTGCCGGCACGGGCTTCACCTGCCCCAGGAGGCTCCCAGAAACTCCTCTGGTCTTGGCGGGAGCCAGTTTCTGCCTTCTGTCAGTCGGTGGAACTGATTGTGTATCGTGGGGGATTTTCCAGAGCTGGAAATTCATGTGCAGATGCTGGGTGAGGCCAGAGCCTGTCCCCACACCCGGAGCCCTGTAAGGGCCGGCCGTGTGGACTGAGTCCTGCCCAGGCCCCGGGACTCCAGAGGGCTGGAAGTTCCCAGGGAAGAACACAGCTGCTGAACTCCCAGCCTCTCGCACTCCTGCCCGGACCGGGGAAGGCAGATCTCTCCGAGTCAGCCTGCTTTGGCCTCCCCGTTCCTGACTGCCCCCCACCATTCCTGAATGAATCTGGAAACTCAGGGTGATAGAGAGTGTCACCCTCTGGGGTACATGCCAGAGAGCGGTGACAGGATAGGAAGCAGCCAAATGCAGGCTCAGGCCAGGCACGCAGGCAGGAGCTGCTCCCACTCTGAAATGGACTCTGATTTGACTTCTTGGCCAGAAGGAAAAACTATTTAGACTCAAGATCCATGGTCAGTGCACTGAGGCCAACCTCACAGGCCACTGTGGGAAGGAAGTGGGCTCAAATTCCCTGCAAAGCCAGGCCTCAGGCTCCTCTCCTGTTCCCCTAGGACCTGGTAGCCTGGGTGACAGCTGGATTTCTGCACATCCCACACGCAGAGGACGTCCCCAACACAGTGACAGTGGGGAACGGGGTGGGCTTCTTCCTGCGGCCCTACAACTTCTTCGACGAGGACCCCTCCTTCCGCTCTGCCGACTCCGTGTACTTCCGGGAGGGCCAGGACCCTGGCTCCTGCTCACTCAACCCCCTGGCCTGCCTGGCCCGGGCCGCTGCTTGTGACCCCGGCCTCCCTGCCTTCTCCCACGGGGGCTTCTCGCACAACTAGGGGCGGTCGAGGGACAGCCAGCCTGGCTCCCCGCGTCCTTTCTCAGCCCCTGTGCGGCCCTCCATCCCTCTGTCCTCCGTGCCCACCTCCCCTGGGGCATCTGAGCCTGGGTGCCCATCGCGGAAGCCTGGGTCCCGCTGGTCCCGCTGGTCCGCTGTGCTGAGCCCCAGTAGGGAGGAGGGGCGGCCCAGGCAGAGCCCAAGTGGTGTCCGGCTGTGCCCAGATGATGCCCAAATGCTCTGTTTTCTTGTTTGTATGAATGAGACTTCCTTCACTGTTTATTTATTTAACTTTTTTTCTTTTTTTTTTTGAGACAGGGTCTCACTATGTAGTTGAGACTGACACGAATCTCACTATGTAGCCCAGGCTGGTCTCGAACTCTCAGCGATCCTCCTGCCTCATCCCCCCGAGTGCTAGGATTACAGGTGTTCGCCACCAAGCCCGGCCTTTGTTCACCATTTAAAGCACACTGTTTATCATTTTTCATCCTGGCTCAAAGTGGTGTAATCTGTGCCACTTATTCCAGAACATTCTCATGGCCCCAGAGAGAAACCTCATTCTGGTTAGCTGTCACCCCATTTCCCTAAGTCTTTCCTCAGTTCTAGATACCCTAGATGTCCTTCCTGTGGCTTCGGATCTTGACATTTTGTATAAACTGATACCTACAATCGATTCACCCTCTTGTGCTTGGCTCCTTGTCCGAGGAGGTTTTAGAGGTACAAATCAGTGCTTCGTTGCTTTCCAGCTAAGTAATATTCCAGTGTTTGGATCGTCTTCCTTTTCCTCCTCCCCCTCCCCCCT